AAGGCGGAGGCTGGTAGGAGGCTGGGCAGGGGTGTGTGTGCGTGCGGGTGCTCGCCGGCCCTGCGAGCGCCCCCTAGGCGTGCGTCGGTGTCCTGGGGGCGTGTGCCTCCGTGGACACCTTTGAGGTGCGTGTGTGCACTTGGGCCCTGGGAGCGCCCCCTAGGTGTGTGCCTGTGTGAACACCTGGGTGTCAGTGTCCACGGACACCCTGGGAGTGCATGCTAGGTATGTGCATGCATCTACAACGCTTGTATGTGAATGACCTCCAGGTGTGTATGTGCCCATGGTCCCTAGGATCACCCTTCGGGTTGTGTGCGTGCCTCTCGATCCTGTGAGACCATGTAAGCACCTTGTAGGTGTTTGTGTGCATTCCGGCAGAGTCCCTCCAGGTATGTGCCTGCATCTGTAGTCTCTGCCAATGCATGTGCTTGAATATCTCCATATGTTTACTCGAGGTGTATGTAGCACAGTCCCTCCCTTCTAAAGTCAGGTGTGTACATGAATACACGTGTGTCTTTGAGTCTAGTCCTAGATGCTTTTCCCTCTAGGAACAAATCCTTTTCTTTCTTCCCTTCCTTCCTTTTTTTTTTTTGAGAGGGAGTCTCCCTCTGTTGCCCAGGCTGGAATGCAATGGCGCCCTCTCGGCTCACTGCAACCTCTGCCTACCGGGTTCAAGTGATTCTCCTGCCTCAGCCTTCTGAGTAGCTGGGATTACGGGTCCCTGCCACCACACCCGGCTAATTTTTGTATTTTTAGTAGAGAGGGGTTTTTGCCATGTTTGCCAGGCTGGTCTCGAACTCCTGACCTCAGGTGATCCGCCTGCCTCAGCAGCCTCACAAGGTGCTGGGATTATAGGCGTGAGCCACCATGTCCAGCTGTCTTTTTTTTTTTTTTTGTGATGGAGTTTCGCTCTTGTTGCCCAGGCTGGAATGCAGTGGCATGATCTCGGCTCACTGCAACCTCCGCCTCCTGGGTTCAAGCAATTCTTCTGCCTCGGACTCTAGAGTAGCTAGGATTAGAGGTGTGTGACACCACACCTGGCTAATTTTTGTATTTTAGTGGAGATGGGTTTTCACTGTGTTGGCCAGGTTGGTCTCAAACTTCTGAACTTGTGACCCACCTGCCTCAGCCTCTCAAAGTGCTGGGATTACAGGTGTCAGCCTCTGCACTGGGCCAAATCCTTCAATTTTTTATCTTCACATCCAGCCCCCAGCTTCTAGGATTCTTCCCTGTTCTCCCCACACAGGCTAGAGGGGACACGGTTCAAGGTGGCACAGGCAGTTAAGGGGTGTCAGAATTCACTCCTTCATTCCCGCTCTGTATCTCCCTACCTCAGCCCCACTAGTGCCTTCCATGGCTGAAGGGAAGCCGGAAGAGATAGAGAGTAAAATCTATTATTGCCTTTCAGGAGGAAATTTGCCTTTGGAATGGTTCTCACGGGTGATAGAGACAGGCAGAGAAGCTCCATCACTGTTACAAGTGACCATGATGGCAAGAAGGGTGGGGCCAGCTAGGAACGAATGGGTAAGGGCATTCCAGGGCAGAAGGCCATTGCCTGAGAAATTCAGTACAACCTGGAACCTGATATTTGGTACTTATGCTGTGCCCAGCAGTGTAGTTAGATTTGGAAATTCTGAGCGGAAGATATTCAAGTTTCTGTCCTTAGGGAGTTCAAAAAGCCCATCAGGACACCGGGAGCAGAGTGATGAAGCCTACATGGGCAGATGAAAGTCAGGGACAGACCTCAGATTCCAGGGCCAGTTTCCATTGTAGATGCTGTGGGATGAGGCTGGGGATAGAATATTCATTCTTTATCCCTAAGGCAAAATCCTGACACACAAGCAGATGCACCTACACAAACAGTTCTGGAATATACAGAGGTGCTCTCCATCTGAGGAGGCTGTCCTCAGGAAAACTTCCTGCAGAGTGTTTCACTAAGATCTGGGAGGAAAGCATGAAATTTGGTTTAATGAAGGTTCCCAGGACTTGAGAATTAAGGTAATGCAGCAGACTCATTTTCTGATGAGGAATAGCAGTTGTAGAGAAGCATGACTGCAGATCACATGACTAGAAGTGACATGTCAAGACTGGATTCCACTATCAGTCAGGGTTCTCTGAAGAATCAGCCCCCGTGGCCAGCAGATGCACCCATGTCCTTCCATTGTCCTCCATCCACCCTGGCTCACTTTTCTCCAACACTTCCCCTCCTAAACTTCCCTATGGGAATGAGACCTGTTCAAAAGGCCCCCCACCTGCTAGACCCAGATCTAAAAGAGGGTCTCCTCTGAGGGTGATGACAGGTAGGACAGACAGTCAGAAAACATAATTTGAAGTATTTTTGTTTTTTATATACAGAATACAGGAAAGTTTCTGTAAAGTCTAAAACATTACAATTACTATGTACATTGGTACTGGTTGTGGGGGTGGGAGGAGAGGAGGGAACCAGGGGCAGGAAGAAGAGGAGAGAAGTGGCGAGAGAACAAAAAAAGGAGACAAAACAGGTTTACGACAAAAACATTTTTGCTACAATAGACAATTTGAGAAAACGCTCTACCACATGTAGTACTGTACACGGTTTTTAAAAACATTGAAAAAATGTCATCACTAGATGTATTTACACAAAATCCAAATACACTTTTCCTTATTTGAAATAAAACAGATGGACAGCCAGAAAAAGAATTCATTTCTCATTTGTCCATAATACACAGTAGCTACCTGTAGTGCAACTGCTGCAGAAAGGGAAAATAACGTGGAGGGTGGGAACCATGGAAGGAAGGTGGGTAGCGATCTTTATATTAAATAAAACAATGATATTGTATAGATTTTGCTGTATGAAAACTGTATTTTTTCTTTTAATATAAAACTATTGTCACTGCCACAAAATAGAACAAGTTTCTGATTATTTTACAACGGCGGGCGAGGGGGAGGGAGTAGTAGGTGGGTGGGGAAGGGTTTTGTGTTGGAGGAAGTGTCCAGACCATGGGTCTTTCCCTCCCTGCCCACGCTGTTCCTCAGCTCGGGTTTGCCGCTTTCCCATGAAATGTTGAGTACAAATATATGTGCAAATGCCCCCTAGAACTTGAGGAAAGAAAAAGGATTTTTAAAAAACAGTCAAAAGGTTTTCTTCATTTCATGCAAAGATTGTAGTTGAAGCGTTTCTGGTAGAGTATAGAAAACACCCGGGCTTGGTTTTGTGTACATTTTTGCATTGCAGGAGTCTTGGGTGGGTGTACAGGCCAGTAGCGGGGTAGCTGCCAGTCCTAGGGAACAGAGTTGGAGCGCAGCACAGGGCCCTGGTGGGGCTTGAGAGAGAGCTTCTCGGCCAAGACCCCATCCTGCAGCAGGCTGGCATCGCCTTTGGGCTGTTTGGTCGCAAACTCAGTGATGCTGAAGACAAACTGCAGGCAGCCCAGCTTGATGTAGCTGCCATGGTGCAGTAAGGCCGTGCCCTCCCAGCCGGCCCCACTGCCCCCAATCAAGCTTGAGCTGCTGGCTTTGCAATTGCAGGGTCTCCGCTGCGGCCCTTGGGCCTGGGAACTCATCATGGCTGCCTCCTCACTTGGCTCTTCATCCTGTTTCTGGTGCCGGCGGCGCCCTGGGAAAAAGGGGGATGGTCACAGAAGAGGAACAGTGAGCAGCCAACCCATGTGGGCTGTTTGCCAAGGTTGGGCTCCTGCATCTCCCCATTCCAACTGCTGCATGACTACGGATGAAGGATGCTCAGAAAGGGTTGGTGGAGTCTGAAGTCCCCACAGGTGTGTACACACATGGGGGTACTCAGCACTTGCTTCTCTGTGGCCTGCCCTGGGCCCATGAGGAAGTAGAGCTTGGCCAATAGGACTAGGAAGGCAAGAGACAGACCATGGGCAGCAAGTCAGAACCACCCTGACTGCGGCCTCGGCTTTGTGGCCACAGACCTCTGCTCCAACTTACTGATGACACTCTGCACTTTGGCAACAATACTGCTTGGGGGTGTTGGCGGGGTCTTCTCCGAGAAGTCACATGAATACAGCACATTGTCCACCGTTGTCCCATGCTCACTGTAGTTTAACAGCTCATAATGTTTGGTATTCTGAGGAGGAGGAGGGGAGATAAGATGCGTGGTCGGCTGTGTGGGGCCTGGGGCTAGGGGGAGAGGACATATGGAGAAGGCCGTGCTGCTCTACCTAGGGAGCCCATACTTGCCTCCCCAGTCATGGCCCCTGTCCTTTCAGAAGGGGGCTGCAGATACCTCCTCAGGGAAGCCTTCCTTCCGGTGTCCCACACCCCCTACTCTCCCAATCCTCCTTCACTCTGCCTTCTCAGCACCGCTCCTCTTGGTGTGATACTCACTGGCCCGTGATGATAATGAAACTCACAGGGACACATCCACAGGGCTTGGCTTCCTTCTACGCTGGTCCCCTCCCCTGCTTTAGGGTAGGCTCCCTCTGCTGTGCCTGTGACTAACCTCAGGAAAAATGGTAGCCCTGCTCCTGTGAAGCAGGTACCCCTGGTAGGACGCTGTTTCACATCAAGACTGTCCTCCTCCAGGAATGACAGGGAGGGAAGAAAAGGAGAGGACTCCCAATCCCTCTTCCCTCCCCTCAGGGCACTGAACAAAAACCTACTGCATGGGAGAGGCCTTAGGTTGGGAAAGCTCCCTCCCACCGCATCTCCAGCCCTCACCTCATCGTAGAATATGCAGGCATGTTTCCCGGACACGTAGTTACAGTGACCATAGTTTGTAAGGCACACATCCATGTCAGCTCCTGCAAGATGGCAGGAGTAGAGGAAAAGGAAGGCAGAGAACAGATTGTAAGGTGCATGTGTCGGGGAGGTGAGACAGGGAGGGAGTTAGCTTCTGGGTTGGCACTAGCAGAGACTTCAAGGGTGAGTAGCTCAGGGCCCTCCCCTTTTATTTTTGAACAAAAACTGATGTCTTTTCCAAGCTCCTGATAAAGAACAGCTGTCCCTGCCAGCTGATCTGCTTTAGAACATGTGGCTGCTACCCAGAAGGGAACAGTGAGCTACTGAAGAGGATGGGATATTTCTATGAAAATACAACAAGAGGGTGCAGAGCCTAGAAAATCATATCACCTTAAAGAAAGGGAAGTTTCTAGGGTAAGGACTAATCTGTCTGTCCTTCTGTACCAGATATAGAACTATCTGTCTCTAGGAGTTCTAGGGAAAACAAAACAAAACAAAAAACAGATACAGGGCTAACTGAAGATTGGGTATGTGTGAGCCTATCACTCTTTCAAAGACCACCAGGGACAAAGCATCTGCCTTCTCCTTGGGTTCTTCCCTGCAGTGTTTAAAGTGCCTCCCTGGGCAGTAGTCAGAGCTGACTTTCATCTCTGCTGATGCAACACTGGGCAAAGACAAAGCAAAAGGGCCTAAACAAGGGAAGACAAGGAACTGATCGTCTCTTTTATTTTTGAGACAGGGTCTCACTCTGTTGCCTGGGCTGGAGTGCAGTGGCATGAACAGGATCACTGCCTTGACCTCCCAGGCTCAGGTGATCTTCCCACCTCAGCCTCCCAAGTAGCTGGGACTATAGGCATGTGCCCAGCTAATTTTTTTGTATTTGTTTTTGGTAGAGATGGGGTTTCACCATATTGCCCAGGCTGGTCTCGAAGTCCTGGGCTCAAGTGTTCCTCCTGCCTCGTCCTCCCAAAATGCTGGGATTATAGGCGTGAGCCACTGTGACCGGCTGATTGTCTCTATTCTTAGTTTCTCTTGTCTAGCTATCCACTGGTTTAAAGCAGTCAACTCTGGAAAGGGCTTCCCTCACCCCTTTCTAACTTCTGTGGGTAAGGGTATCAGTCTTTAGGGCAGAACAGATTCAGTGTCTCTCCCAGCTTCCTGGCTGGCTCACCTGTCCCGATGTAGAGGGTTCGATAGCACATGTTCACAGCTCCTCCCAACCCTAAGAGGGGGTAGAACACAGCTCGGGCCTGTACCTCCTTTCTTTGCACTACAAGACAAACATAGGAATAGGATCATTCAGAAACTCAGATCCTGTGATCCAAACATAAACCAACAAAATCTGGACTTTTGGCTCATGGCCTGGAGAAAATCCCGCTGGATGACTCATCTTTCCAAACTCACATCCAACACTGAGCTGCTGCAGGGTAGACTTTCTCTCCCCACCCACAGCATTTCCAACACAGGGTGCAGAGGACCATCTTTGAAGATAGTCAGAGAAGTCAGAGATGACAGTACTCTGTAAGTTCCTGGGCTCCTGGTTGGCTAATCTGGGATATTCCAGCTGGTACTATAGGGAGAACATGGAAAAACAGACCGCATGGACCAGTGTTTCTCAAACTTTAATGTGCATATGAATCGCCTACATATCTTGTTGAAATGCAGATTCTGATTCAATAGGTCTGAGGAGGGGCCTTAGCTCTGCATTTCTTTTGCTGTTTTCTTTAAAAATAGGCAAAAAACCAATGCACTGAGCTCTGCATTTCTAACAAGCTCTCAGGGGCTGCTGATGCTGCTGGTCTGGGAACCACACTTTGAAGCAGCAAGGCTTTTAATGGCCAGTGCTCAGACATACCTGAAACAGAGTTAACCACTTGGGGAAAATTTCCAGAAGGCTGGCCTACGGTTATTCTATTTCTCACCTTGAACTTGAAAAGTTCCCTCTTGGGAAGCCATTCTTTTAAAAATTTTATTTATTATTTATTTAGAGACAGGGTCTCACCCTGTCACCCAGGCTGGAGTGCAGTGGTGCAATCATAGCTCACTGCAGCCTTGACCTCCCAGGCTCAAGCGATTCTCCCACCTTAGCCTTCCAAGCAGCTGGGACTACAGGTGTATGCCACCATGCCTGGCTAAGTTTAAAATTATTTGTAGAGATAGGGTCTCACTGTGTTGCCCAGGCTGGTCTCCAACTCCTGGGCTCAAGTGATCCTCCCGCCTCAGCCTCCCAAAGTGCTGGGATTACAGGTGTGAGCCACTGCACTCAGTCGGAAAGCCCTTCTAATTCAAATATTTGAAAGCAAGTAAGCAGAAAGTACACTACATATACCCAAAGGTACTGGTAGCTGCTTTGCTGTGTCTCAGAGTGGACTTATATATGAAAGAAAGTTACAGCAGACTTCCCCAAGTCTGATAAGAAAGCTGTGGTTGCCATCTTGTTCCTGCTCTCTTCAGAAAAAAACCATGGTGCTTTATTAAGCCCATGAAAAGCACACAAGAAGATTTGAATACTGGAAGCTCAGATTCTCCATGGAGGCAAGGTGACCATTCGCACACGTAGAGGGGAGATCTGATGATGTGGTGACAGGTGTGTACATGCGCACCTTCTGTGTGGTGCCCTCCAGAAGCCAGCTGATGTGTCCCGACACTGCCCGGTGAAGGTTGGACCCGGGAGGGGAAAAGCTGATGTATTCTCTGCAAGGCCAGAAACTTGATCAGCTTCTCGTCCAGCATATTTATCTCGATTTCTATTAGCCAAAGAGAAAGATTAAAAAGCTGCTGAGATGGAAGTGGAATGTGGAAGCAAATCAGGGTCACAGAGCAAATAGTTCGGCATTTCTAAAATCCAGTCAAGTAACTTTTACTCAAACAGCATTGAGTACAGAGCATACAAGGATCTGCAGCTGGGCATTTCACTTGCTATTTGCAGTGAGATGGGTCCCAATGCAGCCTGTGCAGCTGCCTCCTGTAGTTGGGTGAATTGATTTTAATAGTGCTCCTAGAACGGCAGAGTGGAATAAACCACTTGCCTGTCTGTGGGGGAGGGCCTGGATGTCTGATATTGAGACTTGAATTTTCTACCCACCTTGTGTTCACAGAGATCAAGATCTGTCCCTGTTCTCCTGGACTTTGGGGGTTTCCCACAGATGAGGTCCCTCCTTTGGGAGTGAGGATCCTAGTTTTATTCTGCAAATCCAGGTGATCTGCCTAAAGTGATTTTGTTTTTGTCTCACTGGTTCAGCTTGGCTCTGTCCTCCCTCCATCTTTGATTATGTGTATATGCACATGTAGAAGGCAGAGCTAGAGAAGGAGCTTTCTTTTTCACCCCACCCCCCTATCCAAAAGGATACTCCTCATTCCCATCTCCCCCTAGGCCTCTGGGATCAGGTGCTCCTTCCCTCCCTTTCTGAAATGAGCTGAATGCTGTATAGCAATAGCACCTTCAACATAGCAACCAATGGAACAGCAGCAGCTCATTCACTCACCTCCATTGACATCCATAAATGCTCGAAGTGAGTTGGTGAGGTCCACCATGGCAGTAGAGTTGGCTGGGAAAGAGGGTACGGTTAAAGCGCTTCCTATGGATAACGTGCCGGGGCTGACCTTGCCATCTGGGGACGGAGCAGGAAGACTGTTACTTACGTCGCCTGAGGGAAACCCACCGGTCCAATCCCCCACTGCTGAGACAGGTCTGGATTTCGGACCCAAGGTGATGTTCCCTTCTTGATTCTCAACCCATAGGCTCTGGAACTCCTAGAGCTAAAAACGTGTGGTGAGGAAGGGCAGATGGAATGACAAAGCACCCGGGCACGCAGGAGTCTCCAGAGCACTGGGAATCATTGAAATCCACTGCTCTGGGGAAAGTGGTGGGGCAGCTTCATTCTTTGGGCCATGACCACCTCCCTGCTGCCTCTACTTTTAAATAAGTGGTGCCTGCCCTTATAATTCCTGCCTACTGAAATATGACTCACAGCATGGAAAATCTACCCACACTGGTATTAAGCGATAAACAGAGACAGGAAAACAGCCTGGGAGTGGGGCCATCCTGGGACCAGGGGCCCCCATGCAGAGAAATCACAGTCACCTGGTTACCGAGACTCCCAGCTGACTAGGAGGCCGGCTTCAGTTCAGACGGGAGAGACCACAGGGGGTTCCGGCAGCATCTGAAACCTGGTTCAGATGCCGGGGTCAGCAACCTCAAGGTCCTGAGTGCTGTCTGGGGACAGCTGAGAGAGCAGGTCCACAGTAGGCCAAGTACAGACCTAAAGGACCGCCCTTTGGCATGTGGCCCGAGGGCAAGCTTCTGGGCTAGACCAACCCCTGTGGGCATCCCACTCTACAGCTCCTCTGAAAGACAGTGCTGCTGTCTATCCCTGCTTCCGGACACGGAAGTCCATCAGATGAACTCTGAGAATATGCATCAAGCATGAATCCATTCTTTTGTGCAGATCTAACAATACTGAGGCCATCACGCAGAACCTCAGGCTGATCACAGTAATTCCAGAGAGCACCCTGCCTTCTTTTAAGGTGACAGAACAAAACAGGCAGGAGCCTAGGCCTGGAAGGTGTGGGATGGAATCAGGAGACCTGGGCTGTGGTTCCAATCCTGCCACTGACTCCGTAGGTCAATTTAAGGAAATCACTGAAGCTTTCAGAGTCTAAGCAGTCCCATCTATAAACGGGACAAGTTAACATGTGCTTCCTCTTCTATTACGGAAATGGGAGTAAGACAAACAATACAGAGGCCAAAGTCCTCTGAAGTATTCACAGGGATATAAGTGCTTTTGGAATCTTGTCTTATTTGCCAGAAAGAGCATAAAATTATTCCAAATCACCCCAAGGCTGAGCAGCACTCACCTGACGATGGCGCTGGTGAGCTGAATCGTTGGTTGGCTCCTGTGGCCAAGATACCATCTCCTGCTGCTTGGGGGGGAGTGAGCACCCGGGTGGCATTTGGGGGTGAGCCCAGTGGCCTTGAATCTGTCAACGGAGGTCCTATCTGTGATTGGACAGTCTTTCTTTGCAAAGTGCTGGTGTTCTCGATGCTGGCACAAGAGCTGGGAATGGAAGGGGGCAGGCTTGGGACAGGAACCAAACTCCTCTGGGGGCAAGAGCTGGGGTCAGTGGCATTCTCTGTCTTCACAATGATGCCGACGGTGTGGTTCTGAAGGCCCCCAGCCGCTGGTGGCGTGAGGGGCCGGGGCCAGCCTTGCCGGTGTGAGAGGCCTGGTAGGGGGGTGTTAGCGCCTGGAAGTCGCCGGGGGTCCGTGGAATCAGTAGGGCTGCTGTAGAGGTGTGGGCCATTAGCTTTCACCTCTGTGTTCACTGGCCCATTGGCAGTCCCACAAGGGGTTTTCTTGGATTTTTCTGCACAAGAACTGCAGCCGATGTCCTCTAGGGCTGGGGGCTGGTGGGGTGGAGAGCAGCTCAAGGAATTCTGGGTGCTAATCCCTGAGGGGCAGGACAAGGGGTAGTGGGAAGGTGTAGGTGTCTTGTCAGCTGTTTGCAAGGAGGTGGTGATTGAGCCGTCAGTCACAATAACAGGCTTAATATCAGCCTTCTCTGTCTGTTCAGAGTCCCAATGCGAAGGCATCTGCTTAGCAGATAAATGTTTCAATATGCTGCACTGGAGCGCAACAACACTACAGAGCCACTGCAATGGAAGGAGAGGAGAGGAGACGGGGGTGAGAGGCCTGAGAGGTGCTGGTCCTTCCTGCCACAGTGGTTAGGGCTGCAGCAGAGCTGACAAGCAGTTTCCAAGGTCCCATTGCAAATGCTCACAAAAAGTGTGCTTGACTCCTCACAGAATTCCATTTCCATTCCCAAGCAAGACTTGTGGGTACCCTCAGCAGGAAACACACCCTCTGGCCAACAGAGCTTGGGATCTGCATTTTGACTCTGCCTTTAAGGCTTACTTGTGACCAATATTCAGCAAGTACCCCGAGCACCTGTGGTATGTCCAGCACTATCACCTAACCTCTCTATGGGTCTACTCATCTCTTTCTACAGTATAGATTTGACCATCTCACAGTGCACTGGGGTAACAACGGAGAGAAGTAGACCAGTTGCCTTTGTAGATCTCTTACTTGCCTTTGGGATTTGAGTCAGAGGTTCCCCCTGGATTACTCAACTCTTGAGGGGTTAGGATGAGGGTGGGTGGGGACTGGAATAAGAATGACACTGAGGCTACTTCCGATAACAGCTGTGGTGACATGGAAGGAAGATTGGGTTTGGAATCCCAGCCCTGCCTTCACTCACCTCTTGCTGCTCTGCTTGGGTGGCTAAGTGCTCAGAGTTCAAAAGGTGCATCTGTGATTCCTCAGGGATCCCATTGCAGATCAGCTCCCCGTCCCGAATGGCCGCGGGTGCAATGAGAGGGGGTGGAAACTGGTACTGAGATTTTATAGCATCGGGAACCTGTTCAGGATAGATAGGAGGAGGAAGGAGAGGGAGATAGTTCCAACATGTCCAGTTGATTCTGCCCTGGTATGCTGTTCTGTCTGTGGTGCTGGTGCTCAAGGGACCATCCACTCTGGGGTCCGCTGAGGAAAAGGAAGCTCAGAAATGGAAATAGCAGGTGGGGCTTCCACTTTTCTTCATCAAGGTCTAAGGCCTGCAGAACACAGAAACCACTGCGTGCTGTCTTCTGCTTCAGCCTGAAAGGTGTAAGACTGGCACTGGACAGGACTTCAGAGTGGCACTCTGGGTTCTTATTGCTCAGTGTCAAGTTTGGGAGTGGGTGAGCAGTCACTGAGACAGAAACATGCTTGACATGAGGCCTGGCTCATGATAAACACTCAATCAATGTTAGTTTCCTTCATCCATTCATTCATGACTCATGAAACAACTACAGACGTTTTTGTGCAACAAAAACAGAAGACACACTCTGAATCACACCACGTAAGAATGAAAGAGCCACACAAACAAAGAGTCATTCATACATTCAACCAACATTTATTGAGCACCTCCCATGTCTAGGCACTCTTCCAAGTTCTAGAGATCCAGAGATGAATAAAACTTAAGACTTGCCCTCAAGAAGCTCACAGTCTAGTGGGGAGATAAACACAGAAATATTATAACACAAGGTAATGGGTTCTAGAATAGAAACATGTCTAAGGTGCTATTAAAAACATAAAGAGTGCTTATTTTAGTTTGGGGGACAGGAATTTGGGATTAGGGATGATTTTTTTTTTTTTTTTTGAGACGGAGTCTCGTTCTGTCACCCAGGCTGGAGTGCAGTGGCCGGATCTCAGCTCACTGCAAGCTCCGCCTCCCGGGT